CCAGTGGACTATTGCGTCAAGCGCAAAGGTCTCTGGGAAGGAGATTGGGCGATTACTAGTTACCTGCGTCCTACCTACCATTCGCAAAGGACGCCAGGAACCAGCGAACTTAATGGGCTATTCCCCGGTGCGCCACCTAGCGATGCATGTGTTAACATTTCGAGGTCATGACCTCAGTCTCTACATACAAAAAACACGCCATGATGTAGACAGTCCTTGTTCGTGTCACCTCTCTGTCTGTTACTTTGTAACGTGCTGTTTAGCCTATGTGAAAATTAAAAATAATACACACGTACGGCTTTGTTCATCTGTAAGGGAATACGCTTTGGACTGACAGTGTATTTGTTCTACAGTTTATTGCTGTCTCGACCCCCAGGACAACCGGATTCAGTGGACCGTCTAGTCACGGTCTGAATCAGTGCACGGGAGAAAATGTTTGCGAATTGCACGTACGCAAATGATGAAAAGACTGCAGTGATTTGCAATGGTACACGATTTATAGAGCCTGAAGCTCCCTTGACTTATCTTGACAAGGAATTTTGGATGTATCTTGGCATATATGTAGGATTAGTATTATTTGCCGGTAAGTGTCTCAGCATACAGTTCCACAGTACACGAAACGCACTTCCGGGTTTGGAAGCGAGCGTTTATGTGCATTGTTGTGTTTAGTGAGAACGAGTATTGACATCAGAAACGTAATTCGCTCAGTATTCATGAATATGCCTTAGAAAACGAAGATTTTTAGTTACCTACTTTTTAATATACACAACATTTAAATCTACTCGAAACATCTCGTGTTCAAATTTTAAAAATGTGTTATTTTTAATATTAAAAAAATGAAGCATTTTTATTTGCGTGTATTCCTGCCCACTTTTGACTACTTTCCAACTACAAATTTCATTGCTCGTCACTTGCATCTTAGTTAATTAAAACAATTTTGTTTCTAGATTGATGTTGTAAATGTTAATTTCAATTCATTATTAGAAGGTAAGATACGTGGCTAATTTTTGCCCAGTCGGGATGTGATTCATGAAATACATTTTATCTGCTTTAAAGGTGATAAAGGAGATAATATGAGGATTAATCCTTTATTGTATAGCTGAGAAAAAAAATGATTTCCCCTATATTTTTTGTCAAAAACAAGGATGCATTTCTAAATATATGATGTCCCAGTACATCACTTTTTTGTCAGTAGCCCAAGCCAGCATTTGTTTCAGTCAGTTGTAATAAAAGGGGAACCGCTCAATCCCATGGATTGCACCAAAGAATCATGGGACACTATTGTTTATGTTGTTTACAATGTTAATCTATCTTTTGTTATCCATTGTTATTTTAATCCAGAAAGTAAATTTGTTGTGAAATTAATCTTAACTGGAAGGTGCCCCTTTAGTCATAAATAGCCTTGTTGTGTTAAGAAATGGTTTGAGTGCTTTGTAAATATTGATTATCAATGTGCTAAACCTACATTTTGTTCATACATTGCAGAGGTTTATTTTTAACTTGGTGTACACACCTATTTATGTCTGTTGTGGTTATTTTAATATTAATTGTAATAACAAAAATGTCAGACCAATACACCCTGTCACTTGTGTCTCTGTTATTTCTTTTTACACTTTTGCAGTTTAAGATGATTTAATGTACCGGTAATCCCTATTGTGTTTGTTGCTACTATTCAGAGTTAGGAAGGGATTCAATTTGAGTTACTAAATGATAGAGCCCCTTCTTTAACACCATTGCCGATAATATGGCAACAACCTTTGTTTTGTGACACTTATCAAAGTCAAAATTCTCTGGTCTTTCCATATGAAATAATAACTATAATAATAATAACTTTGTCTCTGTTGACAAAGTATCGCTCTGTTCATGCACTGCTTGTTGTCTGCCTTCTTATAAAATGACACCACTTTATCGGCACCATCAGATGGCGTTGTTTTAACCCTGGGTGCTTGTTCACATGTGCATCAACTTGTTAAACATGGAGCTCTGGGTAAAGACCAGCCCTTTGTCTCCAAGCTAAACTAACTCTAGTCGATTATTGAAATAAGCAGTGCCCTCTATAGTGTGAGTGTATCTACTGAAGAATGGAGAACTTTTCTTTGAAAGGCTTATCTGTGGCCAACCCTCTTATATACTTCTTTTTATTAAATATTCTGTTAAATAGATGTACCTACTAGTACATCTGATTACATTGGCAAATTTCACTATGTTATCTGAAGGTCTGATGTCTGGTCTGACGATGGGTTTGCTTTCCCTTGATGTCATGAGTTTAAAAGTTCTAAAAGAAGGTGGAAAACCTAAAGAAAAAAAATACGCTGCCAGGATTCTACCAATTGTTAAAAGACATCATTTATTGTTGGTGACATTATTACTAGCAAATGCTGCTGCGGTGGAGTCAATGCCGTTGTTTTTAGACAGAATATCAGATCCTATCACTGCTATATGTGTTTCAGTAACTGCTGTGTTGCTATTCGGAGAGTGAGTATATTTAACTGTATCCAGATATTGGAATATACATTGTTTTTAAGGAAAAAATGTTTATTGGTATGGTATGGGCCAGGTATTCATTTAATTATTATTGGTACATGGATATAAAGTATATGCAGAATTTTCTTTTTTCTGTCAAATTTTCATATACCTTTCATATGAGCATTTAATTGATAGAGCCATTCAATGTAAATAATACCGGTATAATAATTAACTTTTTTCAAAAAGCAGTGATTTTCTGTATTATTCCGAGCACTCTTTACTATGAAACTTAATATGTGGGTCATTAAGCAACACTAAACATTTGGCTGATTTGGGGGATTACAATCAATTTCAATTGAGCTGTGACACAGCAATGTTTTCAGTTCATACAAGATCCAGGTGAATATTGCCTCCTTTTAGCAACACAAGTACAAAAACATGTAAAGTTAAAGTTGAGAAAATGTCATCAATGCTATTTTAATAATCATTAATTAAATACTGTAAAACAAGTTGAAAAAGCGACATGCAGTTTTAGCCAGTTGTGGTAAAATGACGTAATAGCGAAATATTGATTTAGCGAATCACTCTTGTCATTGTTGATTTCCTGTTTTCACAATACTTGTCTGTTGTGTGCCAAAAACAAATGTGCAGTTATCACCTCCATAAAAACAAAGAAAAACTGTCAAGTGTAATTAGGAAGCGCCCCAGATTTTTATGTTCCAGATTACTGTATACAAATCACCAAGTCTTGGCCATTTTGTATTTATCATAAAGTCATTAGCGACATCTTGAAATAGCGAATCAGTTCTCTCGCTAAATTTGCGAAAAAGACATGTTTTACTGTATACATGTTTGTGCTTCTGGTAATACCAGTATAACAACCTATAGGCAATGTTATTGTTGCATTTTTCGAGCCGGTGTTGATCAATGGGTTACATTTGCTTTACTCATTTGCATGCTCTACATTATTCTACATGTCACACAAGGTCATTGATTTTTTAACAGCGGTGCCATTTCATTCTCATTGTGTGGTTGAAAGAAATGAACAGTTTTGATAATTAACACAAATTGCTAATTAATATTCAATTTTATAGTAATGTACTTTACCATTTTGTCATTTCAGAGTTTTTCCACAAGCACTGTGTACACGGTTTGGTCTGGCAATTGGAGCTACTCTCGTACCGTAAGTTTACTTATACAGTGAAACAAGGAAATAAATGAAAATGTTATGTACTCAGAGGAATTTTTCTGTTTTTTCCCCAGTGGTAAAACAAAATAATGATCATATGTGCAAGTTTTAAATTTCCAAGAATTGTTTTTATATATTTTATTTCTCAGTGACACCCCTTGTAAATCCCCCAGATTTCCTTTTTTTTAACATGACTATGAAGGAATTCCCTACTAAATACCCAATCATGCAGTTTACAACCTTATAACACAGTACTCATGTGAGAATTATATCAGAAAATAGCTGTTTATATCTTGTTGCTATGTGTAAATTTTTAATTCTCTCATTGTTTTTTTGGGTTATACTACTATCTCAAGGGGTGACACAGAGACTATTGGGTTTTTAAAATGCCCAATATTGTTATATTAACCCCGATCAGGGATATGTAGTGATATATATATATAATGTGGATTTGTATTTCTGTAAACTGGCATTCTAATACATTTTCAAGGATAAAAATTGACCCATGGATCGTGAGTTTTGTATTCATATTCTAAAGCTGAAAGCGCATTCCATAGAACTTGCGTATAGATGGGCATGACAAAATCGACACAAATTCTAGTATATTTTAACTAACTAACATATAACTTTTGTTTTTATTTAGTTTGGTATATTTCCTGATGGCCTTGTTATTTATTATATCATGGCCATTAGCTAAGTTACTGGATTGTCTTCTTGGTAAAGATCATGGAACTTTCTTCAGAAGAGCAGGTTTGTAAATATGCATAATAATTTATAATATATTTTGATGGTATTTTGATTTTATCCAATGAAAACTTAGCTTACATATCACATATCAAAGAAGCTGTCTCATTGGTCAATCCATAACTATTTTCTTAGAACTTGGTGCATTGGTTGATTTGCATACTGAGAAGACCTCAGACAATGAAGAACCATTAACAATGGATGAAGTATTGATCATAAAAGGTGCATTAGATATGAGAAATAAAACTGTTAAGAACTCGTTTACTCCAATGGAGAGTGTCTTCATGGTTGATATCAATGATAAGATGGACGACCAATTAATGAACCAGGTAACTTCCAATAAATGAACCAGGTAACTTGCAATAAATGAACCAGGTAACTTGCAATAAATGAATCAGGTAACTTCCAATAAATGAACCAGGTAACTTGCAATAAATGAACCAGGTAACCAGCATTTACTGAGCCAGGTAACTAGCAATTAATGAGCCAGGTAACCTGGTTACCAATAATTAATAAACCAAGCAACTAGCAATTAATTAGACCCTAATAATAATATTATGTACATATAACTGAAACTTAATTTTTGATGTTAGTGTTGTAATTATGTTAAGTGAATATTTAAATTTTCCAAAGTCTAGGAGCAAAATATAACAATTACTCTAAAACCTAATTATTTGGATTATTTGTGGAGGATTACAATTGTAGTAAAATGGTTAATTACTTACGTTGTTACGATGAAATCAAGAGTAAAATGTCATACTACGAGCAGTGAATGTTGGTGTTAATAAAACTGTGTATAAAGCAGAAGTGAAATGCTATATGATGTCTGTCAAGGATCTGAAACTGAAAATCTGTCACTACTTCCTGTTTTGAGAAAACTTCATATGGTATACTGTAAAACTAACTGCAATTTGTGTCACTTTGAAACACAATTTAAATAGTAGTACAATGTACATTTTCAAACTGTATGAATAATAGGGGGAAATGTCCATGTAGATTGCTTGAATTATACATTCATACTGAATAATAATAATAACAACTTTATTACACTACTAAAAACCTCCAAAAAAACAAAAAGAAGTTAAAACTATTTATTAAGTTATTCCTGTGCACTGATCTTACTACATCATGATTTCTGTATACTCGACATCACTTTATTCATTACCTCTCTTGCACATAACTTAATTCTGTGACTTACTTAATTACATCACTTACTAGATCTAATGACATCATTAAATATTCCTGTGCATAAAACATAACAATTGTGTTTTTTTGACAGCTATTATCTAGGGGGCATTCCAGAGTACCAGTGTATGAAGGTCATCCCAATAACTTAATTGGTGTTTTACTTGTTAAAACATTAATTAAAATAGATCCTGATGACGCTATTCCGATTAAGGAAATCTTTATAAATCATTCACGCAAACTTCCAGTTGTATCGGAAAACAAACCACTTTATGATTTGTTAGATTTATTCCAAACTGGAAAAAGTCATATGGCAGCAGTCAGAAAAGAGGTAACAGTGATAGAGGAGCATGATGGGAATGCTATCAACACCACTGATCAAGGTTTACAGGTAAGCTACTGATAAGTACAAGTTCATGTTGTGCTAGAGATCCTTTACATCTGATATGTGTATAATTGGTATGAAATTGTCTAAATACAATATCAATATTCCAGAAGTCTCAGTTTTTTAAAAACTAACGAGAGACCTAAAACACTTTTCTGCCTAATTTATGTACATGCAAACTGTTTACGATGGTTATATCTATAACTGAGTGATTTAAGATCCAGTGGTGACAATTTATCGATATCATAGATTTTCAAATAATTGAGGTAATTATATTCTGCGAAATTTCATTTTCAGGAAATTATTGGGATCATAACTCTTGAAGACATTATTGAGGAAATCTTACAAGAAGAAATTGTTGATGAAACCGATGTCTATGTTGATGTACACAAGCGTATCGGTGTAGCCAAGGCCAAGTTAGCAAGGTCATTATCAGCAGACCCAACAAAAATACAAAGACTTCAGGTAAAAATTTCACAGTAAGATTTGAAACATTCTTGACATATCGTGCACATTAATATCTATAAATATGGTACACAAGTAACTTTAGTGGTCGCAATCAATGATCGTCCGGTGTCATTTAGTATATTATTGTTTAATCATATTAACTGTAATGACTTCATTGATTTTAGATACCACCACCTCATCTTCTCATTAATGCTGAAGTCATAGATTCAACTTCATCCGTAAATGACGACACACGACCGCTATTAAACACTGAATCATCAACAGACGCACCTATATGTTAATTCATTTCACCGAATATTACAGGTAAACAGACCCATATGGTAACCCATAATCCAGGAATGTAAGCTTTTTTTTTAATAACAAGAAAGTAAATTTTATAAATAATTACTGGTGATCTCATTGTATAATACCATTTTTAGTTCCTGTTTAGATTAAGTAGATTTACTTCTGTGCTTCCTTACATATATGTACATTCCTATCACTGACGTGAGTTTGACATGTACATCTTAAACTGTCACATTTATGCACAGACATTCCTCTCAAAATTAAATCCAAGATTGCCAAATGGGTGGACATTTTAAAATTCATCAAAATCAAAACTTTCTGACATTCCAGTCTCAGTCATGATATTATCATTAAAACTTGATACATACCGTACATTGAACATTATGGGACATTCATGCACCTCACTTTACCTCACTTTGCAATGCTTTAAATTCTTTTGTTATGTGCCATTCACTCTACTGTGATTACCTCTCAGTTACAGCTTATAGATGTTTCTTTAATACATTACTTACTTTGTCTTGAATTGAATAATTGAATATAATTAATCACAGGCAAATATTATACAAAATTAATCACGCTTTATATGTATGAGTGAAATTTTAATAAAAACTAATTGACTGATACATCTAAAGTTAGTCCTGGGTCAACTTCTCTTGTTAGTGTCCGTTCATTTCTCTGCCTGTGATTAGTATGATTACTGCAATCGAATATTTATAGGTGCTCTATTACTGGAGTTACACATCAGATTATTCTTATATGTTTGATTGCTTCAGAGACAAATTTATATGAATATTTTTACAATGAAAATTTCATTTCAATCTTAAGACTTTCATGAAATATCAAATCCCCCAAAATCGTTAACAGTGTGCAGTAGGTGCCAACTTTATTTCAAACTTGGTAACTCAAATATTTATTATGTTAGGTTATTCACATAACACCAGCCCTATTTCTGTCATATACAGTAATATGTTACTAATAAAAAATAGACTTGTAATCAAATATTAAACCAAACAGGGATGTCACTTGGTCCTATTGATTCTAATCTGAGAGTTAAAATTTTTGATATGCAGGAAAAAAGATTTAAACACATATTGATAAATATGTAGAATTTCTTGTTATGTGTGTGGGTGTGTGTTGGAAGGGGTACAAAGTTCACATCAGTAAACATGCACAGGATGTGGTAACCTGATACAAGATACCGGGGTATCAAACAAATTGAAAAAAATCTTTCTCATTTGTGTATCCGACAGGGTTAGTGTAGGTCAGGGTGTGCTAAACCAAAGGAGCCTTTTAAACAGTTTTTGGTTGTAAAGGCAGGAAAAGAAAGGTATTCACTTCCTAAGTATTTAGTGGACAATTGTGAATTGTATTAGGTATATAAATAAAGTACAAACTCAGAAGCAGGTTGTCAGAATTAAACGCTTTTTTCCCAAAATTTAAAATATTTGTTGACTATTGTTGAGGATATGGTGTTCAGCAGTCAATTCTGTTAATACTGACTCCAGATTTTATATTTGAGAGGAGCTTGCTGGGACAAATGATTTAGTCGTTTATTGCTTTCAATAATTTATGGGAACAAAATGTTTTTACATTTACATAATGTTATTCATTTATCATGTATTATTGTAGTCATGTGATTATATTTTGTTTCATTGTCGTTTTTATATTATTATTATAATATTATTTCATTACTGCCGTTACTAATAACAGTGAAGCCCCTCTCACAAAAATGTTGCATAGTAATATAAAAATAATTTTTTGTTTTGTTCAGAGTGATGGAAAAGAACAGCATGCTAATACAACACATATTGGAATAAATACTGCCATCAATGATGATACACCACTACTCAATAATGAAGAAGTACCAAACACTGATGAATTGGATAACTTGTATGCATGACAACCTAGCTATCATTTATGTACACATCAAGTCAAAACTGAATCAATTGTAAATTGAAATCATGAAATTTTTTAAATAAATACAATTTATTGCCATATGTACAAAAATGCAATTATTAAAAGTTACATTAACAGAAGTATAAAATGCAGATATGATTGGAAAGTAGAAATGTTACTGTGATTTTTGTATAATCATGCCATAAAATAATTTAGTTTTAAACTTTTATGATGACGAAAATTTACTTTTACCCACGGTAACAGTATTTGCCCAGAAATAAATATTCATATTTCTGGTCTTTGTGTGCATCACAATTTTTCTAAAGTTTTTTTTGTTAGGAATTTCAGACACAGAAAAAGAAAAAAACAAAGTATTTTTAAGAGAGTTTAAAGGAGAATTCATGAGTGTACAGATATATACTTACAGTCGAGTAAATTGCACAAGGGGCTAACTATTTAAGAATGGGTGCTGTATCTTTTATTTTGTCATGAAAATACTTTACACTGTTGGTCTTTCTGGGAACTGATGCTTATAATGTAATAGAATTCAATAATTCCAATAAATATACTTAACTATATTTTATAAAGTTATTCAAATAATGTACTATGCATTAAATAAAATAAATCTCTACTACAAAATAGTATGAATTTGTTTGATTTCTGTTCTAAATGAGAACTTTAAATAGGAAATAAAGGACAATGCACTGTCCATCATCGAAAGCGATAATGAATTCCCCACAGCGCCATATTGTATGAGAAGGTCTATGGTCTATTGTGTTTTTGTTTTGTTTTTTTATACATGTATATATATTTCTCCTTGTACTTTGTGACCATTTTCTTTCCCTCCGGGGATTGTGTAAGAGTCAATAAGTAAATAAATAAATATGGAAAGATATGCGAGGTGAAGCCAAACGTATTATTGTGTCTAGACTCTTCTCTGAATACCAACATCAGAAATAAACAAATTTAGTTAAATTTCGGGATTATTTGGTGAAATGCATCTACTTGTGAATAGAGGTTTACATAATCGTGTGAGTCTATGACGTTATAAAAACCCCTAATTTTAATAGAGGTGAATTTTAATAACTGCAATTGAGAACATGGATGTGCGAAATAAAACAAATAGTAAAACAAATTTACATTTCCGCAGAGATTTTGACTTTCATTGATGTTTTGACTTGTATTTGCAATTACAATTGCACCTTTATCGACAATTGTACTTGCATTTTGCATTTAATATATAATTTGCACTGAAATTGTGACTTGCGCTTTGAGATTTTGACTTGTATACGGCAATCGATTCTCAAAGAGTGTCACGTGTTTTTTTTCAATGCTAGTACGAATTCAGTGATCCATATCCTGCCTAGTAACTGACATGCGCAGTAAATAGTTCGTTACACTCTGGTGCCATTGTTATAATTTATAGCCCGCCATGCAGTTCAATTCTTAGTAATACTACCAAATACTTGGAAAGACGGGCGTATATCAGATTACACAATTTACCTCTTCACGGTTTTACACGTAGGCACAGTACAAGTACGGGCATGTACCACATACTCAAAACCAAATATAAATGACAGTATAGGTTAACATATATAAGAAAAAACTTGAAGGAATATATAGGTACGCTGGAATAATAAGATTTTAAGATCAGGAAAGGAATGTCATAAATATATTGATATTTCATATTATAATCCATATTTGAAAGAAAACGCATAGTTTTTTCCATGACCTTGAAAATACGGAAGGACATGAACATATATATATAACTAGTCCAACACGGCATGCTTCTGTGACCTATACTGGCCTCTTCCGAGGTGTTAAATTTGTCTTCGATGGAATATATAGTTCAATTACGCAAGTAAATTTCAACCTGCACGAATGTCTTTTAATTATGGGTCTACTTAATGGCTATATGAACATGAGCTCTACTGCCAGTAATGAAAATATCAGAATAATAAAACAAACACTATGGCGTCGATACAACACAATATACACATACCACAGTGGTGCAGTACATTTCTATAAACTGGTAGAAAGGGAGTTCCCGATATACATACTAACATGGCATATGAACAACATTCACATGAATATGAACGGAATTCAAGTTGCTAATCATACGTCACATACCTTATTCTTCAACATGTTCATATTTTAAATATCACGTGGTATTTAACCGCCGGAGAAACATACGGGTTTCTTTCGCCCCCAATTCAACACAGGGATAGTTTTCATAAACGTGTAGGTATTGTGCACACAACCCAACTTCTGGGTAAATGTGATTTCAACCATTTCCATCTGATTTACACTGACACAGACTAAACCATCAATATAATATACTCCCTAGCAACTACAGTAAATGTGTATTGTGTATACGATTACATCATACGTATATGAGCCAGAATACCTTCATTGAGATTAGTTACCACTAACACGAGACAGTGTAAACAAAGAACACTCACTACATGAAAAACAACGCGGAAGAATTACATCTAGTCGACTATTAACTTTTAACTTTTAACTCCTTTGCACTGACTCGCTTTCGCAATTCAACATCTGATGCCGATCGGCAATGGTACTGCATTCTTTTAAATTTATTTCAGCAAACAAATCAATGTATTTTCAAGAGTCTTAGACAAAGGCAAAGATCCATAGGGTAACGAGCGTTATCAAATGCTTTCTACACCCAATGAAAACATCGTCTTTGGATTTGAATGAAAATCGTCTACTTTGGAACAGGTCTGCTATTCACATAAACCAATCATGTTTTATGAGCGACCCTTGGCAAAGTTCCAGACATACTTGACCTAATACGTCAACTAAACTGTTACGTATTGCTAAGCAGTATATATCTCTTAACTCTTATTTTACCGCACGTAAAAACAGAATACGAGACAAGGGTGTCACAATGCAAGGCAGGGGGTGGTGGTTGGCCGGGCATCATCACAAAACTTTCCTACACCACAATCAATGAGAGCCATCTCCACAAACTAACATACGTGGGCCTGGCTAAATTGTCCTACATTGCAAATCTCAAAACAATTGGGGTGGTTCCACTTTTCCACACCGCAATTAATGAAGGTACATCAACATACAACTCGCACCTTGCAAGTGGCTAGACGTTTCTACACCGCAATCAATGTGGGTCCATCCACACAAAACTCAACTATATAGGGGTTTCACTTTCCTACACCAAATTTATTGTGTGACCACCCACACAAAACTCACACCATGGATGGTTATACATTCCTACACCACAGTCAACATGAGGCCATCAACATAAAACGTGCACCATGTGGGCTGCTTTACTTTCTTACACCTTCATCGATGTGTGGCCACCCACACAGAACTCACACCAATAGCATGTTTCTAGAGCATAATAATGGATTTATTTTCTGTATTGTTCATCCTCAACATATACCGTCAAACTTGTTTAAAAAGATTTCATTAAGGGCGGCAATTTCCAGTCTTCCCAGTTGAGTAGATAGCAACTTTCTTCCACTGTCACAGTATTCCTGTTTGATGGTTATTCATGCTGAATTATTTCCATTTAGATGGCTATTCTCGCTCGCCGAGGCTAGTTCAATACACATTTCTCTGTTCCACATCACACATGTATATAATGGAATTTGCAAATTGCGGATCTGATGCAATAAATTACATAACCAGTAAATAATCTATCATACAATAAACCCTCATGCTAAAACGGTCGTTTTCTCGTCTCCTCTTATGTCTATGGTAACCCTGCATCTCAGGATTAGTTTTTGGCAATTTTACACACCAATGAAAGGCGGCACATATTGTTACGTATTCTGAGAACATGTTTTCCAGTCTCACCTGATACCTTTGTTGACCGAAATCATAGATTGAAAATGGTGTTGTGGGACTTGTAGATGGCAAAAGAACCTGGTTGTATTTGACAGTCACGAGGAACATGTTTAATGGACTCAATGGAGGGTGTCTGAAAGATATAGAATAATGTTAAGAAGGTATTGAGGAAGGTGATGTTGGATTCAGATGAATTATTCGATGATATTGAGGAAATTCAGGACGCTGATGAGCTTGTACAGGACACAGGGAAATAATCTGAAGATATTGATGAAGACATTAACGCACTCTGTGAATAGATTTTAATGATTATTTATTATATTCCTTCCCGATATGTACATTTTAGCGTATTTAGGGTTTTAATTTGAGAGTCACAATAATTTACTTAAACATTTAACTATTCTAACCAACTAAGATAAAATAATATCGCTGTGCACATTTTCCATGGAATGAACTTGTTGACGTACACTGAACTTTTATTCAGACTTCTTGTCTCCTTCATTGCCATTGCAACTTTGCAACGAGTGCCTCGTGAAACTGCCAGTGAGATTTGATTATTCACTAACCACATCTCAGCATTGAGGGTTTCCTGTTGATTGGCGATGGTCAAAACGATGATCCGTACTAAGATAACCAACACTACTAATATTACAAAACCAACTGCAGCATACTGCACATCTGTCATGAACATTATTTAACAAGAATAATACGGTTATTAATAAATAAACTTAGATTCTATTAAATAGACATGAACGCGTGGGCAGCAGTATACATTTGAAAACATTTCAAGGATCAGTTAGTAAAAATTGTAACTAGTTGTGAAATATTGTTTCATCTACTATTAAGTGTACCCTAGCACTCAGAGACTATAAATAATTTTCCTCAATGATAAAAAAATCAACCTCACTATTTAACTTTGCTGTATTGAAACGTCATAGTACTTACATTGAGATATTATCTTTTTTTTTCGCTCCAATAATATTTGATTTTTTAGACGTGTTTGTCGGTCCCTGTAAAATTTACTATAAAATGAATATCACGTATGATTCACTCATAACCCTCATTGTCGACAGGTGTGTTTTAATTCACAAACCACTTATATATTAAACCAGTCATATACCATGTATCATAATATCATTTGTCATTTGTGAATACTGTAATTTTTAATTGAGGATATTCGCCACAGTGTCCTTTTATATAATTAATTATTTGTCATTGAATTCATTATATAATAAAATATATTCTTTATTGAATTTTGTGTATACAAAACAATTGATATTATGCACGCGGTAACACCAACACTCGTAATGAAGCAAGAGGGTTAATAACGAAAATGGATATTAAATAGCGTATATTTTTAGAATCGCTATACAAATGAGATTGTTTTCACAAGCATTATTTAAAAAAATGGTCATTTTGAGCAGCAAATTCATGTTCACTTCACTGACTGAGCTAAACAAGTGATTTGTGATGGGATGCAACAAGTGACCTACTATGATACATAATTGGCTGATGTTATATGTACACGGGATCGACTTTTCAATTGCCTCGATAATCAATTCATTTCAAATTAGCGTACCACGTAGGTGCACCGATTTTATTTTGAATTGACGCACATCTGTTTTTTTTTTATTTGTGTGTATTACAAATTGATATGTGTTTGTGATAAAACCATTTAATAGGTTAAAAATTTATAGTAATTATTTGCCAAAAATTGGATCGACATTTTAGTTTTAATATCTGCTGCTTGTTATTTATCCTTACAGCTATCGAAAACCGATATATGCTACTGTTAGAACTCTTCTATGATTCACAG